TACAACCCAACATACAGCAAATATTACAACTCGAATAAGGTGAGCACAAAGAAAATTAGAAAACGATTTTTCTCACGCAAATAACTGTAGTACGTGAAACTCAACGCTATTTTTGAACAAACTACAAAATATAAGCCAGAAATAAATAAGCAATTAGTAATATTTTTAAAGATGGTTTTAAATTTCGTTGAAAACCCATTCAAATTTTTAATTGGAGCTACTCAAGAAGTATTTAGTCACTAATTACGAGTATATAGTTAATTTTTATAGTGAACTAATGTTTTAATGCCGAAAAAAGGTCGTTCATGTAGATGCACAGACACTGTTACCAGTTATTAAAAAATTAACGAAAAATTTTGGTGAAGGCGCCGGGAACATTTTAAATAAAAGCTATAATTGACCTATAATTCCGGTTATATTGAACTAAATTGATAACTTTCATCTTTTCGATCACGTTTTTTGTTCTTTGTAGACAAGTTAGGATTGCTAATTTATATTTTTTGTGTTACAATTAAAGTATAATTTGCTGCATAATATATAGACAACCCAACATACACCAAATATTACAATTCTAAAAAAATGTGTACAAAGAAAATTAAAAAACTATTTTTTTCACGGAAATAACTTTTTACGTGAAATTTGATAGTACTCTCGAGCAAGCTACAAAATATTATGGAAAATAACTACTTAATTAGTAGGATTTTTAAAAGTCCACTTATAAAATTTGTTTAAAAACTATTGCTCATTTTTATTTGGAGCTACTAAATTAGTAATTAGTTACTATTTACGAGTATTTAGTTGATATTTATTGTCAACTATCGTTTTTATGCCGACAATAAATTGTTCATATGGATGTACAATTGTTATCAATACTTACTAAAAAAAATTGTTAAAAGTTTTGGTGGAGGCGCTGGGACAATTTAAAATAAAAGCTATAATTGACCTATACTTCCGGTTACATTGACCTACATTGATAAATTTCAGCTTTTAATCAAGGTTTTTTTCTTAGTAGATACAGTTAGGGTTGCTAATTTATATTGTTTTTGTAACAATTAAATTACAATTTATAATATAATATATATGCAACCCAATATACATTAATATTACAACTAATAAAGTGAGTACAAAGAAAATTAGCAAACGATTTTTCTATCTAAAATAACTTTTTGCATGAAACTCAATACTATTCTCGAACAAGCTCCAAAATATTATGTGGAAAAACTAATAAATTGGTAATATTTTTAGGAGACATCTTGTAAAATTTGATTGAAAAGTCCTTTCTTTCCTCTTAAGGATAATAAGTGGTTTTACTATAAAAACGACCACCGACGTTTCGCCTAAGTTGCTGCTTCAGGGTAACACAATGTATTAATTTAAAAAACATGCTTTAATAGAGTTATTAACAAAGGCGAAACGTCGGTGGTCGTTTTTATAATAAAAAAACTTTTTACCTCATACTTGACTTTGAGTCTATACTTCAACTTACTATTTGATATTGCAATAACAATATTTGTTGCAAATATTTTACATATTAATCTCCGTACATACGTACAGATAAAACTAAAGTGTCTAGCTGTCATATCAAAATAATTGGCATTTTTATGTTATTTATTATTTGTATGTTGTTAAGGTACAAACTACCTTTACAAAAAATTTTTGTCTGTCTGTCTGCCAGTACGAGTTAATCTTTAAGACAATTAAAAATGTTTCAACGGGATTTTATAGACATGAAGAAACATTCAGGAGTGGTCTAGATACGATATAACTCAAGTTTCATTGGGGCGAAGTTACTAGTAAAAATTAGAAGATTTAATGCATTTTACAGTGTAAATTGCTTCAGTAACAACCACACGAACGCAGAGTATAACTGAAAATATTAAACATATACACAGGGTGTTTCAAAGAATTGTTTCAGTCAAAAACAGTAGAAACATCAAAAGAATGTCTTAAATACATGTGTAGTATCTACTTTTAATTATTATTCAAAGTTGTGGTTTATTTACTTAACCCTCTTTTACAATAATTTTGGAAGGGGTTGATCCCACTTTTGGAGGTAAATTAACCCTACCCCAAGCCCCCTTTCTACCGTCTTTGTTAATATTATTTTAATATTTAATAATTGCTTATTATTTCAGTTGATAAATTTAAAACAATTAAATTTGCGTAGGTACCAGTACCTATACCGATAGTTTACACATGAAAGCATGCAAATTTCTTGTTAATTTCTGTTTTCTTTGTGTTATTTATATATTTTTCACACTTCTAAAATCCGGATTATAAATAAGTGTTACCTATGTGACCGTAATTATCAACTAAATGGCAGTCAAATTTAAATATTTGTCAAAGCTACTTGGTCATAATTACACCATATAGGTGCAGTCTTGTACTAACTTTCACTGAAACGTTTAGATTAAACTTATATGTTGTCTGATTCACTTCAATAAAACACGTGTCTGTCTGTACGTACAACATTAGAAAAATTGATAAAAGAAAAATTAGTAATAAATATGAGTGCTTTTAAAAAAAATATGTTGTGCTTGACCTTAATTCTAGTCTTTCCGTTTTTTTTCAAAGATGTACATGGATTAAATAAGGTAAGCAAAATCAAAACGAAGCAATTAAAACTACTATAAACCATTTAAAAAAAAAGCGACAAGTTGTTATATAACTATCTATAGTTCAAAACTAAATTATGCCAACAACCAGTTTTTTCTGTTTGTTGAATATCTTCTCATTCCTTTTAATATCGCACAAAGTTAATAACAATTTTTTATGGGTTACTTATATGAATTAATTCATTATTTCCATCAAATAACAAGAATTCTTATTGCGACATAACTACTAATCGATCTGAAGGTATCAATTAATTAAACAAATTCAATCAAAAAGTCAAAATAGATAACAGAAGTGCAAAAATGAAGTATTTAGAACAAATGATCAGATACAATAATAAAAAAAAATACGATAAAGAGATTATTTTTCTCATTCATTTTATATTTAAACACATATTCAATAGAAATCAATCCTAGTCTGGTTTACATCAACAAAACACGTGGACAACAATAAAAAAAATTGGCAAAAGAAGTATTAGTAAATATGAGTGTTTCTAAAAAAGATATATTGTGCTTAACTTTAATACTAATTCTTTCATTTTTCTGCAAAGATGCGCACGGATTAGAAAAGGTAAGTAAAACTAAAACTCATTGTAAAAACATCAAATAATGAAAACAGTAAGTTTGTTTTCATTTATTGATAGATACCTACATACAACATCAGTTGTTCATGTAAATTTAGTAATTATTTCCGTTAAGTAAAATAATAATTGAAGAATTGCGATAAACCAATGAAAACAGTTAAAATAGATAACTGAAGTGCGGAAATGTACCTATTTAAAACAAAAGATTAGATACAATAATAAAAGAATAAAGATAAAAAGATTAGTTAACCCATTAAATTTGAATTTAAAGATCAATTAATTAATATTATTTACAAAACTCCTGGTAAAATTCTTATAAAAGTATCTATTATATTCATATTCAACTTTCATATTTTTTTGCACCTTTTAATAATGTAAAATACCGTAAAGTGA